TTATGTCAAGATAATAATACATTTATACATATAACATATCTATATATTATATTACACAAAATTCTACAGGGGCCCGTGCCCCTACGGGCCCCTATGTAGATCCGCCATTGATTGGGCCATTAATATAACAATACTTGTATTGTATTAACTATTATGTACATTGTTATTGGGCTTTTTTATAAGGAAAAAAGAAAAAGAAAAAAAAAAGCCTAATGTAGCCCAAATGACAGGGCACTCTAAAAAATCTGAAAGAGAAATTTATGTGACACGTATAAAATGACAAATAATTATGTGACGCGTGCAAATAACGTTCGAGAATCCATTTAAAAGGCGAGAAACCTTAGAAAATCAGAGAAAATCTCACATTGGTTTGTTTGTGTAGCTCTGTTTTTTATTTATACTTTGGAAATATCTTTGAGATCTGAAGATAAAGGGGAAGTTGGGTATGAGGACCAACTTTATTTGTTTATTTATTTTCTATAAGCTAATGTTTAAAAGTTTGTTTAACAACAACAAAATTATTAATTTTTTTTATCATATTTTGAATAAGTTCATTACTTCAGTTTCATATTTAAGAAAAGCCAAAAGATATGACAACAATTCAAAAAATATAATAATAATAATAAGAATCATTTTTTTTTTAATGAAATTCAGGTTTGCAAACAGTGAAAACACCATTCAGACTAACATCTTCAAGTCATGTTCATGTATCAAGAAGGAAAAAATATTTTCGGGCAGAACAACAGATAAGTGTTCTTTCAGTATTAATGCATTTCAATTTTGTTTCATTCATACTTGAAATATACATATGTTGTACATATGACTTTTGTAGGTAAATTCAAAAAATACAATTGAATTATTAATTTGAGGGAATCAAACAAAGAATGTCAGGATTACATTTGAAAAACACGGTGTGAGAAAAAAAAAAAAAAGGTAACACTTCTAAAACAAATTGTTATTAGAAGTAGGACACTGATCACTTGTGTAATATTTGGTGTCGCAATATCATGATTTTGACCTTTTTTTTTTCAACTACATTGTAGCCGGTCAGCCTCTTAATGATACTGGAGTTTGTGTAAAAAGATAAAAAAAAAAATAACACAATGGTGAAAGTATATAAAAAAAATATTACTGCTAGAAATATTTGATGAAGGTTTAAAACAATATGATGAGCGTTCAAGAAAAAACAGAATGAATAAAATTTTGGGAGTTTATATACAAAAATTTGGACTCTATGCTTGCTAAATGTATTAATGTTATTTGTTAGCAATTAATGAAATGATTGGTGATTGATATGCTGTATTTTATTTGTTTAATTTAGGAAAAAATAACTAATCATTTTTTAAAACCAAATTATCACATTTTGCTTGAATCATGGAATAATTAGTTGATTTTCAATTATATAATTAATCAGCTGAATTTTATGGATAAGCTGTATTTATGCCGATGTGTGGAAGGAGATTTTTAGTAATATATAATAGTATTCTTTATTATATTTATCTAATTTTCTTTATTCACGAATATAATTATAAAATTGGGTAAATAACCTTAAAATTGTACACCCCGTGCATCGCACGGGATCTACACAAGTTATGTATGCATATGCCTCATTTTAAAAGTGATAGGTGTTGTACAGAGTGAAATTTCCTCAAATTACTACATGCATAACATTAATTATAAAATTACTAGATATATAAAAAATAATTAATTGAAGTATACATTTAACTGATTAGCGTAATTAATGGTAGATTTTCTCTCCTCTCCTTATCTCTTCTTACCCATTCTTCTCTCTTCCTCTCTGTGTGTTTTTTTTTTATCGGTGGGATCCTTTCTTTCTTCCCACTCTCTGTTTTTTTCTTTTTCTGATCCGTGGAAGACGACGACGGCCTCCACCGACCCCAACGCTTTCATTAAAAAAAGAGGCTTTTTTGCATGAATATGAAAAAAATGAGCCCTGGTAATCAAATCAAAACGGTCGAAAAGCATTAAAAATCTGCTGCGAAAAGCCGCGATTGGGTCCACCTGCACCGCATCGGACAATTTGGGGATGTTTGATGCAATTGGAATAAAAATTCATGGTATTTGGAATGAAATTCATTAGATTTATAAAAATAAACTCGACGCCTAGATCTGAAGTTATTTTCAGTATATGTTTTGTATATGTTCGGTAAAAAATTCTATGGTGCCATCCATTACTTAATGTATTGACACATGTCCAAAGTGTATTTATTGTACGATACTTGTCAATACACTATTTGAGAATAATTATAGATTGCTCCATAAGTCAACCTATCCGATGGCTCCATAGCAAAACTGTATGTTCGGTATACATATATAAACCCAGAAAAAAGTAGATGTTCAGTATTCATATGTTCGTATATGTTAGCTATACTTATATAAACCCCAAATATATATATATATATATAAACATCATATCGAAAAAAAAACCTAGAAAATATACTAAATATACACATAAACCAATTTTAAAATGAAAATTTACTTGATTTTTTTGAATATA